AAAAGAAGCAAGTCGTATTTAGTATTCAGAAACGTTACATGCAAACTGCCAATGACCTGCCAATGACTTACAGTGTTATTCTGTTTTTTTATAAAAGTTTTAAATGTGCTACATTATTGAACTCATCATAGAGTTCCAATGTTCCTTGAGTGTGAGTGCGATGCTGCCTACCAGTGCCAGCCGAGCTCAGCTGCCGAAATGAGGCAGGATGGCGGAAGGAGCGGTCGCCCTTTATGTAGCTCCGGTAACCATCTCAAATAATGGACTTGTGAAAGAAAACCCACAAAAGGTTTGATTGGCCAACGGGGGTAGCGTGATCATGCTGTAAGCACATGCGCAGATCATTTTCATTCTGATCCTCTGGAAGGAAGGACGGTCCTGTCGCTTCAGATGCATCACTAATCTGCAGGTAAAGTCTGCTACAAAGTTGTAGTCAAAGTAACTGAGGGGGGTCAGAAATGTTACCAGAATTGTCGCTAGGCGCTTTTTTGAAAAATAGTCGTTACGGGGGTCTGAAAAGTCGTTAGAAATGGTGACAAATTCGCTAAGTTGGCAACACTGGTTGCTTCCAGTTGTGATCATGAAAGTAGGGAGAGGGGCTTATGATGTGACATTTTTTCCACCTGTCAGGGGTGCCCTCTGAGGAAAAATACTCAGATTTCTGCTTTAAGGGTCAGAGTTCGTGAGCCTCACAGCCTCAAGGATTTTTTTCCTCAAACTTGTTGTCCATCCATTTAGGCTGCACTATTTCCTTCCTGTAGGAATGAGGGTGAATAGTTCATGAGCTGGTTGACTGGTGCCCAACATTGTTTTGTTTGCAGTAGCTCTACACCCACTAGTGCTAATGTTCTCTAAAAAAAAAAAAAAGGCTGTTCTCCATTGCAGCTCTAGCGTTAAACCTACCCATGAAACAAAGCGCTGTGATTGGCAGGACACAAAACTGTTCAGGCCAATAGTAGAGCTGCTAAGGCTACAATGGAGAATGGCTAGACCGACAAGCAGAACAAAATAATTTTGCTACAGCTACGGTTTGTTTAGATTTCTAGGCTAATGATGGAGGGATAACATGCTGTGCCCAACCTGCCATGGAATCAAATGCGTAAATGATATTTAACATAAGCATGTTCTATGAGAAGACAGGCCTAATACACGAACAAACTGTATTTTCTAATGCACAAATTAAATAATATCAAGGATTTATCCACAGTTTTTTAATGACTGGTATGAGAAGCGTATTATGCTCCAAACTGACTGAGATGAATTATGCTTTATGCCAGTTTGACTACTTAAAGCTCAAATCCACGTTGGATGAGGCAGCATAACTGGTATTTAATAAATGACCAGGGGCAGCCTAAGGGCTATTCCTCTGTGCAGCCAAAACACTTGAGAAGGAGGATTATATGTGTGTATGTGTATATATATATATATATATATATATATATATATATATATATATATATATATATATATATATATATATATATATATATATATCCTCCTTCTCAGGTGCATCTATCTATCTATCTATCTATCTATCTATATATCTATATATCTATATATAGTTGTTGTTGAAGATCAAACCAACAAAATCAGCATCACCTGCAAACTTCATTATTTGATTTAACGATCTGTTCTTCAAGTGAAATAAAAAATAATATTCCACAAAACACAATAATCATAAAAACAATATGTATTTAAACCAGCATGATATCAAGTTTCTTTAAAATGCTGCTATTGGAAATGTGGCACCAGCCATCAGCTTCTACTCTTTGTTGACTAATTCATGTTTGTGTAACCTGGTTTCAGTGACCAGTAGGGTACCTTGATTAATTCCTTTGGCTTATCAGATCACTTAAAGGAAGCAGTCCATCACCTGATGATCGTCCGCATTGACATTTCTTGGATTACTCATTCTTTTCCTGTTCTTTCTGTGTTCCCCCTGAGGGGAAACCACACCCATTTGAAACCTAATCAGGCTAAAATGTGAAAGCAAATAAAATATGAACCACATAGTCCCATCCGTTACATGTACGTGAGCGAGTATTAGATGTATTTCATAATGGCACTTTTTTGACAAGGTGGACTTGATGCAAAAGGCCTGAATGCCACTTTAGTTCATTGATTTTAAATCTAGAAGACAAATTGTGTTGTTGGAGGTGAATGTGAGGGATCAAGTCAAATGAGTGGAGGAACACAGGAAATCTCCAAAAATAGAGGCTCTTTAATTTCCTTTTCTTTTAAAATATCCTAACAAAAATAGCTCGAGCTCATAAAAGAGGTCAAACCAAGCCCCCACAATGCGGCTCAAAAATTGAGGCCAACCCAGAAGTACCAAAACTTGCAGTTCCACCCTCATCCGCTAGGGGCTGGTATCAGAAGTGTGCAAATCCTCATTGACTCCCATGTTAAAAATACCAATTTCACAGCAGGAATAAACATGTTTACAGCCTGGAAACCAAAACATGTTTTTGGTTTAAATGATCTAGTTTACACTCATGACAACTCTGAGGGGGGTAAATTTTTTCTCACTCTTCTGTTTAAGTGTATTAAAAGCCTAAAAGTCTGTATAATTAATGAGCATCAGACCCACGTGACCACAGAGCTAGCTCCGTGGAAAGGCCTCAGTAGAGCCTCGGTCTGTCTTGGAAACTGCTCCGGGATTTTGAGTCTTTGTGTTTGTGTATTCTGTTTTTTGGATATTATTTGTGCAATTGTTGGACAAAATGACTTTATGTGGCATTAATTGCACTAATAGAGCGTCCAACGAGTCTCCACTTCATTTTTTTTTCGGTAAGTAAAATTATATTTATGTATTTTAGGTCACTGCCGAGTTGAGCTTAGATTTTAACATGTACTGTTTAACCATGAAATTTAAATGTAATAGGGTAAAACCCAGTGCATTTAACATAATGCTGCACTTTAGAAAATGTGTTGAAATATAACATGTTGGTGGAGCTGGGTTCCGACTATCGGCTTGTGGAGCTCTCGGGAGACTTCTGTTTTCCACCCGCTTCTCCCCTCCCCGCAGCTCGGCGCATCTCTGTCTGATCGCGGCTTCTGTCTGCTGCGCAGGCTACCGGCTTGTGGAGCTCTGGGATGGAAACCTTTCCACCCGGTGCTCCCATAGACTGTACATACTGGACAAACGGATTCCATTGGCTTCAATAACACGTTTGTTGTCTATAATGGGAGGTGGCCACCACCGCCATTTTGACCGTGTCACAGGGCCCAGACAATTCCATAAAAGGGAAGAGAGGAGGCGCTGAGGGTGTGGCTGTAAGGCTGGGCTCGAGTGACGACACCCAGGCGAACTAGCTACGAGCTAACCTGAAGCTAACCCTGGCTAACCCAAAGCTAAAGCGGAGGTGGGAGCCGAGCTAACGGATGTAGCCACCTAGCTTCAACCCAACCGGAGCTAACTGGAACACCCATCGACCTGAACCTTACACGGAGTTTAGGTGGAGGTTTTCTGCGCCTGTTCGTGAGAAGTACCTGTATTAAAAAAGTTTTAAATCGGTAAGTTTATAATTTATTTCCGTAATGAAAACATTTTGCTTTGAGCAAGTTTTCAGTACAGTTTTTTTCGGCGCTATCACTCCTGAGTCGCACCAGCCATTAAATGTATCATAAATAAGAGAAAATATATTTAAGTCGTATTTTGGGGGGACATTTTATTATCTTTCTTACAAAATCTGAGACCAAGCGTTTCACATTGCAACACAAGCACCGGTACCCATAACAGAATGAACAACAGCCAGCAGAGGAGAGGATGGCGGTGTTTCAAACCCTCCCGGCCGGCGAGGAGAGCTCATTCCTGGGCTGGAGCCGGCCCTCAGCACCCCGCCACAGGCTCTAACAGATGCTGGCGGTGTTTGAAACCCTCCCAGCGGGACAGGGGAACTCATTCTTGTGTGGGTCGGAGTCGGCCCGCAGCAGCGCGGTGTAGCCTACATATTTTGTTATATAAGTCGCTCCGGAGTATAAGTAGCAGGACCAGCCAGAAAATGTAAAAAAGTGCGAGTTATAGTCCGGAAAATATGGCAGTTATTAGTATTCGAGCTAAATTAGCAGCGTAAATACATTTCATATATTTCCAAAATGTTATACTTGTTTGTATCTTGTACAGCCAACTAGTCTTTATTCTGGACTCAGTACAATTTACCAAAAGTAAAGAGACATTCTACAGATGAAGTAAGCACAAGATAACTTACTGGAAGACACGGAATTATCATCAGAACCAGAACAAGAGAGCCTGATAACAGTCATGTGAAAATAACAGTTAAAAAGTATGTATGTATAATAGAAATAAAATATATTAGAATTAGTGTAACTCACTGTGATCCAAACAATAAATCAGCCATAGCTGATTAGTAAATATGACATGAGGTCTTGGAGTTTTTAATTTTCATTTTTTTCTTAGATCTGTTTCAATGTCACCATGGCAGCCTGTGTGTCTCCAACATCAGCTACACAACGCAGCAAGTGTAAGTTCCACATACCTGTCTCACATGGTTTTGTACTTTAAACAATTATGACAAACCTGTTATTTTTTCTCCATAGCCATTTGGATAATTGGAGACAGCTATGTGAGGCGTGGTGCCCAGAGAGCTGCAGAGACAACCTTGGCCTCCCTGACGTCTGTGTCTCCTGGTTCGGTTGGGGTGGACCATCGACATACATACATGTGCCGACACTTTGCGCCCTGTTTTATAAAATGTAGTGTTAAAAATAAATGTTTTTGCTCAATTACTGGAATTTCTTTGGTTAAGACAAAAGTGAGGAATAATCATTTACAAGTTATTTGTACAACAGGCCCATTTTAAATCCCAACAGTTTCTTAGCAGACAATAGAAATGTGTTCTTTACTAACTTTACTTGGTTTAAAAATCTTACGAAAATAGTGCCGTATTGCAAAACCCAATCATACTTGTTATGTAAACATTAGCTTTGTAGATATTTTTTACAGATATATATTTGTGTGCAACAAATCCAAACTTAAATAATTTGTCATTCTTTATTGAAAAACAACAAAATACAGTTATACAGAAGTGTGGGAAAATGATAATGTGAAAGTATTGCTATTTAAATGTAATCCTATTTATCTTTAAAAAGAAAAACTCTAAAAATGTCCTGTACAGCATCATGACAGAAGAATGGTGGTCTGTCTGTCAGAATGTGCTGAACAGATTTGCTCTTTGAAGAGGAGTGTCATGTTTGGAGGAAGGTACTTAACCCAAGACATGCAGAATACAACACTGACCAAAAACTGATGGAAAAAATGATTTATAAGGAGGAACTTAAGGTGCACAGATAAGTCTGTGGTTGGAACTGCAACAACAGCTCAGCATCTGGAGGAGGGAGAACACAGGTGAGCTTAGGTTCTGGTTTCAAAATCCATTGTAGGCAGGCAGAGGTGTTCAGCAGACTTACTGTGGTGGGTGTATGTGTTGGCTGGAGGAGGGAGAGGTAGAGAGCCGGGGGAAGCGCAGGAGAGGGAGCAGAGGTGGAGAGAAGCGGGGCGTCCTGGTGGATGGGGCACTGGGTGAGATGAGAGGTGGGTTATGGAGGGTGGTGATAAGGTCCGTGTGCTGAATATCCAAATCCTGGAGTAGAGGTCAGTATCCAATGAGGTCGACAGGAATCCTGAAGAATGGTAAATCCAATATAAGAGCAAAAACACTACGAAATAACATTAATCCTAGGAACACTAGAGGTAACACGAGTGGCTGGTTACTACCAAAACTGAGGCAATCTTCTGGCGTCAAATTGTGTCCTCCATCCACCTTAAATAGGAAAGCACCCCGCTGATCGCTGATCAGGAACGGCTGGGGTGGAGTCACCAGAACCATGAAGAACGTGTCTCCAGAGACAACTCGGGTCCTGGTACCGATCAGGAAGCAGACCTTATCACCCAGAGCTGCCAGGTCATGCTCAAAGCCTTCATGTTCACGCTGCAGAGCCTGAACGCTGGCCAGGTGGTGGCCGTAGTTGTCTGTGTTCAGGGCCTGGTTCTTCTCCTCGATCCACTCTTTGGTCTCATCAGCGTCTCTGAGAAGACATCAGAACTCCGTCTGAGTGTGGGTCCAAACTCTACTGACCCGTAAGCGGCGCATAAGTGTGCAGGGTACCTGTGGAAGCGCTGCACCTCATGGGCGCTGCCCAGCATGTTGCTCCGGTCTTCAGCCAGCTGTTGCAGCGAGCGCCAGCGGTTGTTCAGCTCCTGGAGAGAAACCAAACCCAGTGAGATGAAGGTGGACGCCGGACGAGGAAACCTGGAGACGGATCGCTCAGACAGGAAGGGAAGAGCTTCCTCTTACCTTGATGGAATTAAAGTTAGCCGTCGTCTGAACGCCCAACCGTACGGTCTGAGGTCAAAGGTCACAGGAAACACACACCAGTCAGCAGTCATACAGATGCATAAAGATAACTGTAGCCATGGCAACCAGCTGACATGTCCCCACTTTCACCAGCACCTGGTGCCTGCCGGGTCACCTGAATTCCTGTGTGATTTCAGCACGGTCGGCCGTGACTGCGGCCATCAGAGGTGACCTCTGATCAGCTGAATGAACTCACCTTCTCGGGTGACGCCGTGTTACCCCGGGTTTCCACTGGAGCCGTCAGCAGCACGTTACTGCAGCAGCACGTCTTGCTCGCGTAAGCTGCTGCTCGGCCCTTCCCACGAGACGCGAAGCAGCAGGGGAGCAGCTGTCACCGACCGAGCACGAAGTCACACGAGTGACTTCGTCAGTAAACACAACAACAAGCAGGAGAAAATTACAACATGGTTTGTGTTTTATGTTCTGTCTGTTTTATAATCGCCAATACGGACCTGAAAAACAAAGGAGACCGCTAGCTAGGTGATAACTTCTCACGGGGCCGCTCAGTTAGTAACCTTTTTTAAAAGTAAAGCAACCGGAAGGCAGTACGTTCTTTATTCTGAAAATCTCGGTAGCTTCTCTCAATTTCCGCGTCCGATTTCCTGTCTTTCCTTCCCCAAAAATGTCGAACTTGACCCGTTTCAGAGGCGTCGCGCGTAGAAAATAGAACCGGTGCGTAAGGGCCGCGACATGCTGCTCCTGAGACGCGGCCGACTCGCGCTGCCGACGGCTCCAGTGGAAAAGGTTCTGTTGACCACAGCGGTTCCTATCAGCAGCTAGGACGTGCTGCTGCAGTAACGTGCTGCTGACGACTCCTGTGGAAAGCCGGGGTTAGAGACGGCTTCATCCTGTAAACAAACAAATGAGTGGTAACAAAAACACCACGTCTGGTTCTGGTGGAGGCGGAGGACAACACGCACCTTTCCAGGAGCAGAACCCAGATGTTCTTGTTGCTACAAACAGAGACGAGCAGAGTTAACAAACCAGGAAGTGAGAGGGACCAGCTGCTGCAGACAGGTGACGCTCACCTGAGCCTGAACCATAGGAGCCTCCTCAGCCATCAGACCTTCTGACTCCAGTTCACATGCCACCTTGTTGATGTCCCTCAGGCGAGACTCGTTGGCCTTCAGGTCCTGCAGGACAAAAGCACCTGCTGATTATCACCTGAGCTGATCTGACAGCTGCTGCTGGAAGACGGGAGAGGAGGAAAAGTCAGACCTTCTGGAAGTCGTCAAACTTCTTCTGCAAGACCTCGACCTGCTCCAGGTCCGACCCGTCTCTCCATCCTCATTCAGCTAAAGACGCGAGTTCAAGTAAAACAACCTAAAGTCACACAAACACAAAGCAGGTGTGGAGATGTTCGCTCTGAGCTGGAGGTCGTTCCTCGGCTGTGAAGGGCACACGAACCTTGTTGGTGCTGTTGAGCAGCGTGAGGATGTCGCCCTTCTTCATGGTGACCTCTCCAGGACTCTTCTCCTGGTAGTCGTACAGAGCCAGAACCAGCTCCTTCCCGGTCTCATCGTCAGTTGGAGCCACTTGTTGCTGTCGGGTTAACAGGTCTGGTGTTAGAACGTGGTGGATAAGAATGTTCTGACGGGCCGAGGGTTCTGAACCAGCGAAGTGACCTGGACCCAAACAAAGTGAGCCAGAACCTGCAGACACCTCAGAAACATGTCAGGACCAGACCTGCTCTACCTTCCTCCACCATGGTCTCTCCTTTCTGGGTGACAGCCTTGATGCGAGGTTCATGACCTGTGATCTCAGCCTGCAGAGCCTGGTGCTTCTTCAGCAGGTTCTGGACACCAATCAGGTCCTTCCCTGAGGACACATGTTAGAGTTCAGCATTATGCAGTAGACAGACCAGTTTAACCCAGGGGTTTCTTTCTTCTACAATCTGCTCTTTAACTGTATTATTTCCTGCTATTTCAGCTGTTAACTTTATTTTTTCTGTAAGTGTTTTTCTCCTCAGAAGAAGCTACAACGATGTTCTGCTGAGCTGTGGTGGCCTCATGGAGGGGGCCCATCGTCTAGCACACTGCTGCTAACCACTTAATCATTCTCCCTCTCCTGATAATAACATTTTACTTTCTTTGATGTTGGATGTACTACTGCTAGTTTACCCGTTTAATTATAGATTCACTAGGATAAATACAATAAAGTTTATCTCTCGCCAAATAGAATATTTACTAAGAAATCACAATGTAACGTGTGTGTGTGTGTGTGTGTGTGTGTGTGTGTGTGTGTGTGTGTGTGTGTGTGTGTGTGTGTGTAAAAGCCATGTGTAGTGTTTATTTATAAAGCATATGTTGTTGGATTTTATCCAGAATCGAGACTTTGAAAATATATAGTTTAATTACAGTTTGATTTATTTGACATCTGTATAATGTTTATTATTTTGTTTTTTCCCCCTAAATACCTAACATTTTAGTTAACATGAATATTAGTCATTCATCCCAATACATGAAGTTACACATTTTAAATTTTAATAGGGGAAGACTGCAGGAGGGAGCAGTAAAATACAGGGGGTCCCCTGCAAAAACTAACTTTAGGAGTCTGATGAAACTTGCTGGTATTCCCGCTGCTTCTTCGGTAAACAGCGCCAACAAAAACAAAGAAACTTGGGATCTTGTCGGCGTGGCGGTGGGATTTAAGGGAAACGCTGTATGCCCTATAGACTTCTCAACGAGCTGCAGTATTTCTCCGGTCAGATCTGTCTCCGAGTTCCACGAGCGGTCAGCCTGCAGCAGCGAGGCGCCGCATCGGTCAGCCTGCCCGGCCTGACCGCTGGAGATTACCGGATGAAAGAATGGAGCACAGAAGTGTCCCCCCAAGCGGCGCGCCCCGTCATATTTCAACCCATTTTTATCTTAAATGCACTGGGTTTTACCCTATTACCCATTTAAATATGCCCTATTAATTATTTTACCGTATTTTACATTTAAATTTCATGGTTAAACAGTACATGCTACATGTTAAACTGATAGTTAGCTAGCTACTTCGGTAAACTCAGCTAGTTTAAAGGCAGCAGTGACATAAAATACAAATATAGATTTTAACTTACCAAAAAAAATGAAGTGGAGACTCCTTGGACGCTCTATTAGTGCAATTAATACCACAGCAAGTCATTTTGTCCAACAATTGCACCAATATTATCCAAAACAGAATTCACAAGCACAGAGACTCAAAATCCCGACACAGTTTCCAGGAGAGACCGAGGCTGTACTGAGGCCTTTCCACGGAGCTAGCTCTGTGGTCACGTGGGTCTGAGGCGGCGGTCACGTGTGTCGGATGCTCATTAATTATACAGAATTTTAGGCTTTCAATACACTTAAACAGAAGAGTGAGAAAAAAATTCACCCCCCTCAGAGTTGTCATGAGTATAAACTAGATAATTTAGACAAAAAAACATTTTTTGAACCAGGCTGTAAACATGTTTATTTCTGCTGTGAAAATGGCATTTTTAACATGGGAGTCAATGAGGATTTGCTCGCTTCTGGTACCAGCCCCCAGCGGATGAGGGTGGAACTGCAATTTTTCTTACTTCCGGGTTGGGACCATTTTCTGAGCGGCATTGTGGGGGCTTGGGTGCTCCCCAGCAGCAGCTCTGCGCATCTCAGATTGCAGCGGCGCTTGTCTGCTGTGCGGCTGCCGGCTTGTGGAGGTCTCGGAGACCTCTGTGTTCCACCCGGTTTTACCCAGCGGTCAGCCCGGTGTTGAGGGTCTGCCCTCATAAGGAAATTACTGTGCAGTGATTTTCTCCAAAGACTGTGCTAAAAATTGCTCTGAAAGAGCATATTCCATCATCAGTGCCAGAGATACTTCATTTCCCATGATGCTTGGCACACGGAAGCAATGTGATGACGTCACTGCCAAGGCGGAGCACGAACAACAACAACAACCAGCTGAAAGTTATAAATTTCAGCTAAAAATGAAACTTATCGTTCTTGGTCCAGTTTAGCTGGCTGTGAAGGACACGATTCCTGACTATGGCTCCGAATAAAGTGTGCACGAGGTCTGGAGGCTTAAGTGGATCGAACACAGAACCACTGGAAAGCAACTCCAAGCCATCAAACCACACGGAGACGCTGTAAGTTATCAACTCAGCACAAAAAGAAACTTTGTTTTCTTTTGCCCAGCATCAGCTGAGAGACACTCGTGGAAGGAGAACGCTAAAAACAACGGAGGAAATCACATCTGATCAGCGAACACAAGGGACGCTTTGCGTTGCTTCAGAACAGCTGTTTGCTCCTGCAAGTTTTATTTCATTTTTACTCTTATCTTTCCCGTTCTTCTAGACCAAAATAAGCGATCACCGCGGATCGTTTAAAAGTAGCTCCGGTTTTTCTCTATCTTCCGTACCAAACATGTCATATATCTACCGTGAAGTAAGGTTTGTTTGTTTATTATTTAAATGTCTGGGTCATTGTCGTTCAGTTTCGGCCAAGCTGATCGACTTCTCTTTTAGATTAAATAATTTAAGAGTGACCTTTGTTGTTTTGTTAACTTTTGAAGTGTTTAAGTTCAGTTCACTGTAAGTTTAAGTTACTAAGTGCTCGGGAAAGTTGAGAACTGGACACTCTCAGTTCTCCTGTGTATGCGAGAGGGAGGGGAGAGCCCCCCCTACACACTCGTAGCTTACAGCTCACACAACTCCAAGGACACACACTCCCCACACACCTGCTCTGAAAGACCCATTCATTCATACACCCTCCATTTCACACACACACACACGCACGCACGCACGCACGCACGCACGCACACACACACACACACACACACACACACACACACACACACACGCATACGTGTTTTTAGTGTTTGTGGGGACATCCTCCATTACCCACACACATTTTCAATTATATCAAACTGTTTTGCATTATTAATCTCCTTGTTTAATTAAATGTTATAAAATTCAGATTTTTGTCTCAAGTGACTTTTTGTGTTGACTGAAAATCTCTGCTCCTAGGATTCCACGAACATTTCAGATAGACTGATAATCATTTTGGATTCATTTCTCTTTCTAATTAGAATGGGTGGTGCCCCGAAGATACCTAATGGTATCTTAATTAATTAATAACTTGGTAAATATTCCCATATTTACAGAATTTACTGAAGAATCCAAAAGTAAGTAAAGCTTACTAATTATTCATTACCTAATAACCCCAACACCGGCGTATCTCTGACTCAGAAGCTCTGGTGTTGTGCACAGTTAACTCCGGTTGTAGCTAGGTTGCTACCTCCGTAAGCTCAGCTTCCACCTCCGCGTTAGCTTTGGGTTAGCTTCAGGTTAGCTTGTAGGCGGTTCGACCGGGTGTCGTCAGTTGATCCCAGCCTCACAGCCCCACCCTCAGCTCCTCCTGTCTTCCCTTTTGAGGAATTGTCTGGGCTTGACGGAACCTGTGACACGGTCAAAATGGTGGTGGTGGCCACCTCCCGTTTGGCCTCAAAAACGCGTGATTGGAGCCTATGGAAACCCATTGTCCAGTATTTACATGTCGATGGGTCAAACAAACAAACTGAAACTCAATAAACTGCTAACTTAACATGCTGACTGACTGAAACCATAACCGACCTAACAAACAAAGACACACAAGGGTATATATGCACTCTGGCTGATCAAACCATATGAACAATAGGGATTACTAGACAAACATTTACTAACTAAAACTAAAACCACAAGTCAGTACAGTCAGATTGTTAATAAGCCTAAACACCCTAACCCATAAACCTATTTAACTTCATACTTAAATTAATTAACAACTGACAAAATAATAAACTAAAGGAAATCCTTCAGTCTCCTCTTCCTGGAGCTATTGGTTTGGCCCCATCAGCTCCTCCTGTATTTAGCTGACAGAACCCCTTCACCACTGTTTGCCTGTCCCATCTCAGTGTAGCACCCAACTCAAGTAGCTCTGGATTAACCCTCGGTTAAGATGGTGTTAGTACTATGAGCGGAAGAAGAGTTGTTGTTTGGAGGGGGAGTGAGCCGGGGTGATTTCCAAGATGGGGAAACGGTCCAAGATGAAGGTGAGTCGGAGAGTGAGCGAGGATATCGATCCAGAGAGGGAGCGTGAGCGAGGTGGAGAGCGGGTCGGCAGGTGGAGGAGACAAAACAGGAATGAGCCAGAGATTTCCTTCCAGGGGCAGAGCGAGTTATCCAAGAATCCAGGAACTTGAGGTAAGTATCAAACATCACACGAGCGAATAATCCAAGAAGTCAACAATTCAAAAATCTAAGAGCAAACAGAGCGAAAACTCGGGAGGGCAAGCGACTACCAGTTAACGGCAATCATCCGGCGTCGTAGTCTGGTCTTCCTCCTCCTTATAAAGCCGGCCCGCTGATGAGAAACAGCTGTTGCTCCCTCTCCTGCAATCAGAGCTCAAAGGTGGTGAATGATGTGACGAGTACTCACCCCGGCTCAGGACACTAACATGTTAAACCCCCTTTTTTACATTTTTAGTAACCCTTATCACTTATAAACTCTGTAACTAATAACGGCACAACACAAACTTTAAATCCAAGATGTTTAAATTTAGTCAAAAAAATATGATTTAAAATAAAAATAAAAAATACAATATTCCAAGTTTTGAAATGTTTCCTTACAATCCAATGGAAGGTTTTTCCCTCTTCACAATTCACAGTCAAGATTTAGAAACAACACATTTATCCAAAATATTCCCTTTTAAGTTCAGTTCAATATTTGTAACCTTTGTGCGCTCATTCACTGAAACCGTTGCAGGCCTGATTGTTGCTTGGGCTCGTTGGGCCAGAAACCACACAAATGGCCGCTTCACTTGATAAACAGTAGAAAACAAAACGCACGTGCTCAGGTCTACTCACAAATCCTTTGGGCTAAGTGCAAGGCAAGTGGAGGGGCAGGCTTGGTTTGTGACCATGCGGCCTCCACTCTGCAAGGTGGTCGGAATTAGCGGCATACCCGGGCTGCTGAGTACACTGGAACAACCACAGGGAACTCCGATCCACAGCAGAAGAGTCCAGAGAATTCCTCTCGGTCCAGCTGTATCTTACATACTCGCGGAGTATGTAAGATACAGCTTATTCTGTGTATTACTCGGCATACATAGCTATTACAGGCTCTACAACGCTAACATGGTAACTCGCGATTAGCACCATACATTTTAAGTACTTATACATTCTGTTTAAGCTCAATGCTAACTCCACATTCAGAACTCACTCATCACAGGGTAAAACAGTCCATAACAGGAACGTAGACTCTGCATCCACGGCTATTATTTTACTATTCTCACGTTAGCTCTGGTACACAACCTCCTCCCGCAATGTGCTGCTGCCGACTCTCACTAGCTTAGCTGTTTTTTTCTTTCGCCTCACTTAGCTCCCGCCTCCCTTACGTCTGATTGGACAATAGGTTTACATCAACCAATGGGATAAAAGAAAATACAAGATTGACAACCTAATGATGAACTTGTTAAACAACTTGAAACAATACAAAGTTTTCCTTGTTTCACATCAGATAACAAACCTTTAGTTTTCTTGTAACTTATAACTCCATGAACACTCAAATTATGATTCACTTCTATTTATTGTGATTTTAAACACATTTTTAACCATTTGAACTCCTTGTTTTTTCAAATATATGAAATATTTACAATAAAGGCTTTACACAATATTTATATCCTTTTAACCTGTAGGGTCTAGAATAGATATTTGAGACCAGGCTACATCAGGAAGCAGGAAGTGGAGAACCTCAGCACCGGTAAGAGAAAACATAAATTAACTTAAATACAACAAATTACAGGCATAAAATACAGCAGTTAACTAAATGTGCACGCTTACAATCAGAACTAATGCATTTAAGCCGTCTGAACAATAAATCCAAAGAAATATAAACATACAAACTGAAATCATGAAAGTGCATGAGTGTACTAACGTTCACTGTTGTGTGGACGTGGATGTGGCCATCACAGTGAACAATGGGGCGAGTTTGCGAGGCCGGGGTCTGACTAATTTGGCAGGGTGAGTCTGTTTTAAATGTTCGGGATATCTACTTTCAACAGATCTTCTGAATGAAAACTGAGTTGTTTTTTAATATTTTGTTTTGAGGATAAAGGTCATGGACAACGTGATATTTCAGATTAGATGTGTACTCAGAAAGCAAACAAACCCAAAACAAACTCTGCATGGCAACTCATTGTGTACATTTTTTGTGAAAAGAAGAGATCAATCAATCTCAGACGTCAATATCCGTTAGCATCCCTTTAGCTGCACACATTTTCCAACTAATGAAATCTGTGCATGACTCCCCTGTTATCGATTTCAGAGAGGCCCTAATTTGCCGCTTGAGATCAGGCATCTCTCTCTCACTTTTCTTCCTCTCCCTCTCCTTACCTTCCCCCTCCCTCCCCCCCTCTCTTTCCGTCTCCCATGCAAGCACACACATACATAAAAACATCTGATCATGAGCAATGCATCGAGCCTCGGGCATCATATTGAACGCTGGCTGCAGTGGTGAGGAAATCCTGCAGGGCAAACTGTTTAGTGCCGTATCTGAAGTTGTTAGATGTGATTAATATGTGCTGATGGTGGCTGGAAGCCATCAAACAGCTCATCATG